ACTTTGTGTGTTTCAAATAAGAAAACCAAAGTGGAGTTTTCTTTCAAGATCGGGTTGATTTGAAGGTTTTTGACAAGATCACGTTAACACATATTCGAACGAGTGAAAGGCTTGGGACAAGTTGGCTTTCTTGCAAAGGAGTAGTGTGAGATGATGAATTATATTCGGGAATCTTGGGTTTCAACAAGTTGCACGCTCGGAATAATCAGTGGATTGTAGCTGCATTGTTGGTCACTTGATCAAGCTTTGATCAGGGGTTGGAGGTGGAAGAATGATAAGTGCTAAATTATAGTGAATGTTAGTGTGAATAATTGGCACTTATCAGATTATAAGTTGTGATGAAAGGAAGAAACAATTCTTCCCCATGTTGTCATGTTTGTAGTGCGAACAAAAAGCGAAGAGGAAGCGAAGAAAAATACTATTCTGGGAGTAACTTTTTGAATCAAATTTCGCAGTGTGAAGGTGGGGTGAATAAGCTCGCAGTGCAAGCTAATATATTTTTTATAAGGTGGTTTAAGTAGATTTCCTGCCAGACCACGTGCAATAAAGTAGAGTTTGTAGTGCAAACCTGGTAGTTTCAGACTTGTGTATATACTTTACTTCTTAGATTTTTTAGGTTATCTTTTGGGAACCTTTGGACCCAATTGATCAGAATCCTATTCTTTAGTAATTTTAGATTAGAAACAACACATGGATGATGCATCTAGATGATTCGGAGCCAAATCACACTTCAATCGGAGATGACAAACCGTGAGAAGTTTAATCGGAGATGATAAACCGTGAGAAATTTGTTCTTCTTCCTTCTTCTCTTTGTATTTTTCATTATTTTGGGGTTGTTGTATGTATGTTTACTTAGATTGTATGTTCATATATGGATTTTTGTATAAAATACCTTTTATAATCTTAATCGATGTTATATTTGATTTAATATCTATCTTAATGGGTTTGGATCGATGTAGACATATACTTTTCAAACTCGACCTAAGATGATGATCTATTGGCTATGGGAAATGGTCTAAATATTCACGCGTGTGTGTTGGAGCTTAATGCTCTGTGTTGTTTTATCGTGTGAGATATTACCTTTGAAAGAACGAGGTTGATCTCTCGGACTTTATGTTAGATATAACCTCCGTTTGTGAGCAATACGTGGAGGTTTTGACGAGTATTAGGGTGAGCGCATTTGATCGATAAGTTTTTTCTCATACATGATGGATATAAGGAAATGCAACTCCTGACGAGTTTCTTATTTCTAAAGAATGTGTTTATTTATTTGCTTTTATGCTTTTAATTTCCGCATGTTACCCTTGGAGAACCATTTCAAACCCAAGAAGACATTGACTCTTGGTCTTTTTGTTGTAATCAAGTTTGATTATAGTGGATTAAGTCCTTATTGATAAGGCAAAATCACTTTGGCGGATGAACTAGAGGTATCTTGTGTTATAGCGAACCAGTATAAAAAATAATTATGTCATTATTTTTATTATTTCATTCTCTATTTCTTCTATTGGGTTAAAAGTTTTCATTTTTAGAAACTCAATTCAACCCCCTCCCCTTTCTTGTGTTTCCCTTCACCTTCACATTGTTCTCTAAAAATATAGGGGGAAGTCTGGGAACAACACAACCCGTGTCAGGAACACGGCTAATCCGTGTTGTCCCCAGATATTATGTATGATCGAGGCACTTCAAGGCAACACGGTCAGTGTCAGCTGAAATGGCCCAATCGTGTTGGCCTTAGGCTTTGTGTATGGAAGGACTTTATTTTTGCATGACTCTTGATTTTTTTCGCTCCAGTTCAGTCCGACACTCCCTTATTGCCTGAAAAAAATAATAACACACCAAAAGCGCATAAAAGTGAAATGAAACAAATAATTAAAACATAATAAATACTGCTAAAGACAAACAATAAACGATATAAATACCACTTATCAAACTCCCCCAAATTAGAATCGTTGATTGTCCTCATACAACTCAACTCAAAAACAGAAAAAAAGAACAAAGTAATGAAGTATACAAATTTTATAAAATTGAATTTTTGTTCAAATCGGGCAAGACCTAATTTTTTATGTATTTGCTTGACACCAAAAATATTTCAAGGATACGAGCTATAAAAAAAAAATACTAAAGTCTCATATTTCAGAAACTTCTCTAACTATAATTTAGACTTAAGTTTCTTTAAAAGTCTCTTTTATAATTTAGACTTAAGTTTCTTTAAAAGTCTCTTTTATATTAAGACTTTTAAATAGTTTATTATATATATATATATATATATATATATATATATATATATATATATATATATATATATATATATATATATATATATATATATATATATATATATATATATATATATATATATATATATATATATATATATATATATATATATATATATATATATATATATATATATATATATATATATATAACTCAACCTATAAGATTTTATAAGCTTTTATAATGACTTAAATCTGACTTATATAATTAAATAGATTTTTAAAAAAGTTTAAATTTAACTAATTTATTAAATAGATCTGACATGAATTTAAATAAGTTAAATTATAGACCCCTAGAGATTTATCAGACCTATTCCCGTCCCTATTTAAGGAGCACTTTGTTAGTTATTGACCTTGCCATTTGTTGTTAACCCGACGGAAGATTAAGCATAGCATTTTCCAAAAGATACACAAATGTTTAATCAAATTGTCCATTAAAGAAGTGTTATGCAAACACATCAAACATTCAGTTTCTAGACACTTAATAATAAAATTATAGATTATTTGTTTGACTACATATTAATTAGACACTTATAACATATGCGGCTATTTTTTGAAATAAGTGCTTATTGTATAAGTGTCAATCCAATAAATTAATCCAAAAATAAGAGTTTATTTGAGTTTAAATAAAGTGACATAAATGTGACTATAAAATGCCCCTAAAATCAACTAGAGACTATCAGTATGTTTTTGTTTTCATAACTACTAAATTTATTTCAAAAATATACTTTTGAATTTAAAAAAATAAAATAAAAATCTGATTAATTTATATATAAATTTGATGTATTTATAGAGCGTCTAAAGATAGATTTTCAAATTCTATAGTTAGAATTAGTTTTTTCTTAAAGTGGAGAAGCAATACTAAAAGTGCAAGCAACCCCTACAAGTGTTCTTTCTTTTGCACTCACATAACGCTTTTTACAATGATTCTTTTTTGGAGAGTTTCTTTTCCATCTTAAATGTTTGTTAGCCATTAATGCAAAAATTTTAAAATGTCTCAAATTTTTAAAAATATATTTTCTGACGTATTTAATACATTCATTTCATTTGTTTTTGAGTTAGACTTTAATTTTATAAATACATTTATTTTATAAATATATTTTTAAAAATATTTCAAAAATATATTCTCTGATTTTTTTTTTTACCAAAACAAACTTAATGCATATCATTAACCAGTAACTGTTTAGTACAAAGAGGAGTTAAATTAAACGAATTATGTATATACCATGAATTGACCACCCTAATAAAAGAGTGTGCAACCATTTTCGTTCGGCGTCTAATAAACTTTACCTCAAAGTTTAAATTGACAGATACCAAAGCTTTTATATAATTAAAAATACATAAAACTTTGAATCACCGTTATAACTGAAGTGAATGATTTGAACAACTTTCTGAAAATCACATTCAAAAACCACATTATTTATATACAAGATAATGGTTTCGTGGATTGTTTCTTTAAGAGTCATAGCTTCAGCTTCAAACACGACATATTTCTGAAATTTGTTAAATTATTATTCATCTTCTTGAATCACTTGTGTCTACATAACTATAAACTTTCTTTTGAAAAAACTCTGAAAACGATATCATGGAGCAAAATAAGGAGGCAAATTTCTCACTTTTTACCTCAACCAATTTTGTCACTAAATTGTATGATTTTACTTTTTTTTCTTCCAATTCATGTTTCAATTTCTATGAATTCATGTAACTCTTGTTAGTGTCAATTTTGTTTTTCATTTTTTTCTTTTTTGAAATGAAATTGAGTACAGTGAATTGAAGTCTGAAAATATTAATTATATATTGTTTTTTATTTTTTCTTTCCTGAAATAAAGTTGAATACAGTGAATTCAAGCCTGAAAATATTAATTATATATTATGAGATAATAGATCAACTCTGTTTTATGTGATTTTACATAAATTCATAGAAATTAAAACATGAATTGGAAAAAGAAAAGTAAAAATTATGCAATTTAGCAACAAAATTGGTTAAGAAAAAAAAAAAAGGTTAGAAATTTACCTCCTTATTTTGCTCCATCACAGCGTTTTCAGATTTTTTTTTCAAAAGAAAGGTTATAGAATTTTCCTTATTTTGCTCCATCACAGCGTTTTCAATTTTTCAATTTTTTTTCAAAAGAATGGTTATAGAATTATGTAGACACAAGTGGTGAAAGAAGATGAACACTACTTAGTTAATTTAACAGATTTTGAAAATATATTTTTCAAATTTTTTTAGAGATATATTTTTAGAATAAATATATTCATAAAATTAAAATCTGATTCAGAAACAAATATAATATGTATATTATAATATATCTCCAAAAATAAAATATATTTTTGAAAAATCGCAAAAGGGCTAAAAAAAAAGTTATAAGGTGGAAAAAAAATCATCTTCTTTTGCACTCACAAAGCGCTTTTTACAATGGTTCTTTTGCACTCACAAAGAGGGATGGAAGACCTACATATTGCTAGAAAGAGAGTATTTGGGCGGAGGTGTTTTTAGCACTCATCTTAGTCCTAATTAAAAAATATGACTGTAATGCTATTATTCATTTTGGTTGCATGGCCTAACATTAATATAAAAAATATAAAAATTAAAAATAAAAACTTTACGGTAAATTGGGTATGTTATCTTATTAATCCACCAGAAATTATGTTTGGTGCAACGTTATAAGTTAAGATCCTTAAAAGAACATAAATATCAACAAGGAAGTGGATGTAGGAAATATTCTAAAACTTGAAGATAGCAGAACCACTTGATGGCTTGGACGCAAATACATAAAGACCAAGATCATTTTTGTTAATGACGCCCTTGTCTATTCTAGTTTGGTAGTAATATTCCTGCAATGATATAGAATCAATCAATAACAACATACTAATTGCAGATTTCCAGTGTTTAAGGTTGTTAAGTACTTCAGATATATGATCACAAACCTTCAAATTAAGGATGAATTGTGGGACTATGTTCTCTTTCACCAAAACAACAGCACAACCACCCCATCCAGCTCCAGTAAGCCTTGCCCCAAATGCACCATTGTCGCGAGAAATCTTTGTAAGTTCTTCCAACTCCGGACAGCTGATTTCATAATTATAAAAACAAAAAATTAACAAACCGTCTTATTTTATGCATCCTTCTATAGAGAGAATTTAATAATTGACAGTACACAAATATTTCCAATGAAAATGAGTAATATTGTATGTCAATCAATACCTGCATTCATATAAATTACTGCAGCTATAATGACTCTCGTTCATAAGGTCACCAAGTTTCTTTAGTTTCTCCTCATCGCTGAAAATATTGGGTTGTTAAATGCAAAAAGCATAATTCAATTACAAAAGAATCACAAATTATGCAAACTAATGAGATTAGAGAGAAAATATCAGTTAGCTCTTTCATCCCCGTTATGTGTAAGACTCTGTCAGAAGAAACTCAAGACACTTCCTCTTCCAATTTACATTATAGACATACCTTTGATTTGATGATACAACATCCTTGAAAGCATATACCCTCTTGGCTTCTGAATACACGTGAGCAGCTCTCTAGAAACATGTGTCAAATTAAATAATAAGGCATATACTTTAGTTATTAAAACCAATTGTAAGGTTGTTGTCAATGGTGAAAGTAAAAAACCACAAGAAATTTGTAGATATTTCCCAACTGTGGTTCGTCATACATAGGGCTGGAAATGAGTCGAGTCGAGTCGAACTCACCTCAGCTCGGCTCGACTCGTTAAGAATTGTTCGAATTCGAGTTCGAGTTCGAGTTCGACACGAACTTTTTTTTAAGCTCAAACTCGACTCGTTATAAGTTCACGAACAGTTCGGTTCGACTCGTTAGGTTCATCTCATTAGGTTCAGCTCACATGGTTCACGAACTTAAAAACTATTTTTTAAAAAATATATATTTTTTAGTATATTTGACATTTTAAATAAATATATATTTTTAAAATAAAATATTAAAATAAAATAAAAGTTATCATATTGAAATTTAACTTTATCTTCGAAATCTACTAATTCAAAACCTACACAACTTTCAAGAGATACATTTGAGAGTCTAATTCAAAAACTAATAAATTGAAGATTAAATTTGTCTAAGATTTGAAGTAAATATTTAAACTTAATCTTAAAGACAGTATAATTCTTTTCATATGTAATCGAGTTGACTCATGAACCTAACGAGTCGAACTATGTATAGTTCAAGTTCAGCTCATTTAGTTAACGAACTTAATTTTTCGCTCATACTCAACTCATTTGGTTCATGAACCTAGTTCAACGATTTAATTGTCGAGTCGAATTCCGAACTATCTTCGAGTTGGTTTGGTTCATTGCCAGCCCTAGTCATACATGAAATCTAATGGGGGTTGCAACAACGAACCTGATGTAACTTGTATTGCTTTGCAGCTTTTATGACTTCCAAGTAAGATGCATTAATATTCAAAAACGAAGTCAGCTTTTCGCCGGTAATATTTTCAATTTCTTCAGCTGTATATGGTTCTTCTTTCAAATACTCCTGTACCAGAAAGAACATATTTATAAGAGTTATGTTATTGGGACAAAAATTTGACGTCAAATTAGATGGTCAGCATAGTTCAAATATGTAGTTAACGCAGAGTAGTTGATGGTTAATGAATATAAGGATGGCATCATACCAGGTTAAATTACCTTTACAGCAAGTACAGGATCAGATGAGTTTTTAGTACCGGCAAATGATACACATAACCCTTCAACATCGGACAGTGTTGCCACTTTTGATATTGCCTCAGTTGTCTTCATTCCTAGCTTTATGGCGAGCACAATCTGGGACATTTCATAATAGTACTTGTGTGTTATTAAATATAAATTAATAACAAAAGGATAAACAAACTAGCCTTCGATGTTTGCGCACATGCTGGTGTAAACAATGATCAACCACAACATGAGACTCCGCCAAAGAATACTTAGTACTAGTATATAGGGAGTGAGTACAAAAACAGCTAATCATAATCATAATTTGCTTAAAATGTACTTACAGCAGCTAAACGACATTCAACAACTCTGTTATTATAATTTGTGGCAGCAGTAACAGCCTTCTGAGACTCCGCCAAAGAATGTGCTATCACAAATGTCCCGCCAGCAGGCAGTTGTACATCTGTTGCGCGAATTGGGTTGAAATCAATCAGTTCTGCAAACCCAGTCTTGGCCATGACAGAGATTGCCTGTCGGGTAAAATAAGAAAGAAAAAATGTAAAACCATGAAAAATGTCAGAAAGACCCAAGAACAATAAAAGATGGCATTTATGCATTTTGAATAAAGTCTGCTATACCATGTAATAAGAATATTCAGAACATATTTATGATAGAAGCTAGTTGTAAGTAGTGTGATGCACCGATGGTCTATGACGGCATTATAGCTCAATTAAGTGCTTATTCAACAAGTGTGTTTGTACTTTGTTTCTACTCTATACCAACAAAGAGGGAATGACAGGAACTTTTAAATAAGTTCTCGATAAGCTGTTTTTCTATGGTATACTGAGCAAGAGCAATGTATAGAAATTGCTAAAATCAGCTGATGGGCATATCAAAAGCTCTTCATAAACTTTTCCAAACACTTACAATAGTGTTTATACTATAAATTCACATAATTATTTTTCTAACTGCTCCCTAATTCAGAAGGCTACGATCATTCTAAACTTGAGGCCAAAGTCACAGAAACTATGTAAATTAATAAAACAATCTGAAGAACTTCCAACCCGGAAAACCACTCATCTGAAACACAGTATTGTAGAGCTTGTGTTTTAAAATTCATATTTTATAGAAATATAAAGTGAAACCAAATAAGAGATGGTAAAATATTGTTAACTAGTTTCATACTAAATGATGAAATACAAGAAGCCTGTGTACAGATAGGTCGCCCGAGACACTAATTTGAGTTTTGGTTACAAACATCATTAACCAATCAGTGTCAATCATCAAGAAGCGGCAATGCTTCTAAAGAAAGGTGATTTGGAAGAAGATATGATACAAATTGGAAACTCAGAGACTTCCACATTAAAATTAATATAAAATATCTGTACTGAAAGATGTGCACAACCTGATCCATCCCACCAGATTGCGTCCCAATATGCCGTTCACAATCACATGTAACTTGTGCAATTTCTTTCTGTCAACAATATATGATAATCTATGTTAGAAACTAAATAAGAGTAACTACTAAATAAACAACAAAAGTATTTTCAAAAACAAAGACAAGCTTTCAATAAAAGCCTCGTAGTGATATCTGATTTCTAAAAACAAAAGTTATTCAATAACACTATAGAACTTTAGCTTTTTCACGTAAATAGAACAAAACTAAAAGTCATTATTATAAATCATAAGGCGCTATTCCTCTCAAATTACAAGATCCCCTTTCTAAACCACTTATCTATTTATAGGCAGCATATCTTATGAGACCTAACTACCTCTCAACAAACTACTAACTACTCATTAACTAACTAACCAACTACTTAACTAATAAGTAACAGTTTACCTAATAAGTAACAACTTACAAACAATTAGAGACCTATCACATACCTTTGGGAAGTTCACATCAAAAGCAGCCATAATAGCAATCGTGGAAGAGCAAACAAATGCCGCAGAGCTTGATAGTCCCGAACCTGGAAACAAATAAATATGATTTTCTTAATCTAACCCCAACATAAAACAAAAGTCACGAGCCCATCATCTTTAACTAAACAAACAAAAAGGTCAACAACTCACTATGTAAATTTGAAAAATACCTAGATAGAAAAAATTAATTGAAAACAAATCAACACACCTGTTGGCACAGTCCCATCAACAACAACATCAAGTCCAACCGGTTTGCCAACATCCACTCCTTTCAATTTTGCATAGTCATAGAAACCTTTGTACCTATAGAAATCACTATCATTTGATACCGAATCCAAAAAAGTGCTACATATATTTTCCTCATATACTGACTGACTTGATTGTTCTTCTGCTTCATTCGTATATAGCATATCATATTGCATTTCACTCTATAAATAGTAAAAAAAAATCACATTACACTACGAAATTAACTCACCCACATATAAAATAATGGCCCCATTTGTGATTCTTCAAGTCCAATTCCTGCTCAAAAACACAATATCATTTGACAATTTGAATTATAAATAACACCAAAATACATCCTTAGAACAATTTTAGAAACATTTACTAGAGTTAAATATTTTCTTTGTTTATTCCCTATATAAAATGTGTTCAATTTTAGCCTAATTTTGGGTTTACATGGATGGACTAATCGCAGGGACTAAAAGTACAACTTTTTTTTGCAAAAACTACCAAAAATAGGGATTGAAATTGAATATAATTCTATGGACTAATAACATCTCAAACTAGATAAAAACAAATAATATTCTTTAACTATAAATCACGGACACCAAAACAACACATCAACATTGGCACGTTCACATCGGTAATAATTTAAAAAATAAATAAGTTAAATGTAATCACAGATGTGTGTCGACGCAGACACTTTGGGATATTTTTTAACGCCTATTATTAGTACAAGTGTGAGGTGAAAATTAATTGAGAAAGAGGATATTGATATGAGAATGGAATATTGATATGAGAATGGACCTGAAGAGGATCAGCAGGATAAGTACAAATGGAATACTTCTGATCATTGACATTAGCGATTCTAAGAACCTTTTCGGATTCATTTTTCCTAATAGCGACAATCGTATCTTGACGAATTGCCATAGGCAAAACCGAATATCCTTCATAATCAATATGTTCCCCAATCAAGTTCACTCTCCCTACACAACAAAATCATTAACCAATAATTAATCAATTATACAAAAAAAAAGCCACAAATCAATGATCCAAGTAATGAAAACTTAATTGGAAGAATCGAACCAGGTGAGCGAGCGAAGAGTTGAGGAGCGTGGCCGAAGATTTCGGCGAATTTGGATTTGAGAGTTTCGAAACGAAGCTGAGCTTCATCGAGAGATGAAACTCCGCCATACACGGGTTCTAGGTTATCGTAAATCGGGATCGGAAGTTCTTCGTGCTTCGCCATTATTGGTTATCTGTTTTTGCAATTTCACGATTTGAGTTTCCGAATTTCTGTGTGTTTATGGAAGTGTATGTGAAACTGTTTTTTAATTTATCTGGATAATTTTCGGAATTTTTGATATTTTTGCATTAAATTGTAGGACTAAAAATGGATATTATTAGGATTTGTTAATGACAGAATATTTTTGGTGCTGATTTGAATGTAAACGGTGAAGATGAGTTACGTGGCAGTGACAATGCTCACGTGAATTTAATAATTCTTGGTTATTCCTCGTTATCAGTCGTTTTCAGTCCCACTTACTGTGACTTGAATAAATTACTTCCTCCAAGAATAAATAAAAAAATAATATTTTTATTAAAGTATCTTTTATTAAATACTTAAAATAATAATAAAATGATTCATTTTAATATATTTCAATTTTATCGTCTAATTAATATTACTTTTATTATTTTTAATATAGTAGAAATTTTTTTAATTGATATTTTATAAATTAATAAACTCTCTAAAGTAATAAATTTGTCCGGTCTCGATTTAGGCCAATGTCAAAAATTGAAAAACTCGATAAAATAATAAGATAATAATTTTTCGAGAGATCCCTTTATAATTTCGGTCTCAAGAAAATCATAAATTAATAATTCATAGAAACTGAAAAAAAATATATTACACTCTATTGAAATATGATTCAATAGTTGTCTGTTTTCCTTTAAAGTTCAAGTCTATTTGGAGCTCATCTCTAATTTTTCTTATTGCATCCAATAGCTCCGGTGTTATATTTTTGTATTGCATCATAAAGTTGTGAAGAGTGTTCGACGCCATAAGTGATTCCTTTCGCGTAACAGGCTCTAAAGACATCGTATCATCTTCACCGTCATCCTCTGCATTGTTCTCAATGATAGTACCCACAATATCTTCTAAACTCTAAACCTCCGAACATGCTTCATTTTCACATGGGTAGTTCATTGGATTATCGATATCCATCTTATTAAGATAGCCATATTGATTGATCATAGTCTCGAGGTCTTGAGTTTCTTCATCAAAAGTGGATTCATCCAAATTTCTTGCAACGTCACTAGCTGAACGAATTTTACAGTGTCGGAAGCAATTCACTATTGTTTCTTTTCGAACATCTATCGTCCAAGCTGAGATTGTCAAATTGATAGCATCAAGGACATTTATCTTCCCTGGATCAGATTGTCCCACCTCATAACCTTCCAATATTTTGCGGTAAAACCTTCTACGGTAATGCATCTTAAAAGCTCTTATTATCCCAACATCGCAAGGTTGAATCTTTGATGTCATGTTGGGTGGCAAGAAGAACAACTCGACGTTTCTTAGCCCTTCAATATTTCTTGGATGTGCTGGACAATTATCCACCACAAGTAAAACTCTTCTACCATGCATCATTTGGTCAAATGAACGAACATATTCATCAAAAACACACTAGTCATCCATGCTTTTTTGTTAGCTTGATACTGACAATCCAAGCTATTCATGTTGACATTCTTGAAGCAACGAGGCTTTGCATATTTCCCAATAATCCATAGAGGGATTTTTTCAGAGCCATCTTCATTGCAACAAATAACTACTGCCAGCCTTTCTTTATCTTGTTTTCTTCCTTCAAGCTGTTTTGTTGCCAGTGAATGATCAGCTTGTAGCCTATAAAACAACCCAGTTTCATCCATATTGAAAACATCTTTCATAGGGAACTGATCAATTTTCTCCCGAATCGATACCAATTTATGCTCCATGTTTTGTACATCAACAGACCCACTCTCGCCAAAACGACGAAATGACTTTATGCCGTGTCGGTTCATAAATTTCCCAAGCCATCCTATAGAGAAGTTAAAATCAGAATCATCATGAGGGTACATGAGTTTCATTGTATCTCTTGCCTTCTGCAAAATTATTTCTCCTGTGATATTCACATGTTCTTGATGCTGGAGAAACCACTTATAAACAACCTTCTCCATGTCAGGATATTTTGCTGGTTTGTGTCTTTTGATCTCTACTCTTCCCTTTTCTATTTCAGCAGAGAGATAGTCATCTGACTGTTTAAGTGTGTTTGATATTAGTTCTTGACTAACTTTGAACTGAAGTTTTCCCTCAAGCCATTTCTGCAAGTCTTTTGTGTGCTTGCAGAATTATCTCTCTTATACTCACACAACTCCTTATGTATTTGATGTGACATAATTGATTTTGCAACACCTTTTAAATGAGAAGTCATTTTGTGAGATATGGTTTGAATACTCTAACACATTCATGTAATATATATATATATATATATATATGGCAAACTTGCTTAAGAATACATTGAACGCATTTGTTCCTCTTGTTTACATTTACTGTACTTCAAAAGTCATTAGATTTTCAATGCATATGAACACAGTAGTTACTAATTTACGTTGAGTCTCAAGGTTCGCTGCAACGTAATTCTAAGAGACATAGACTAATTTTCCTTTTTGTTTGGTATGTATAGTATAATTACTTAAAAACTCTTTAATTAATAATTATTAATTTATCGATAAATTAATAACTTTCTAAATTAATAAATTTCTCCAGTCTTGACATTATTAATTTAAAGAGTTTCTATTGTACATAATAAAAATATCATCTTTTCTCATTTATTTATTTTATTTTCTAATTTGATCAATAAAGCTCCTCTTTATGTGACTGAAAGAGTATTAATTAAATTATAAAATTATAAAAAGTGCATTGAAAATTGTTTAGAACATTTGTTTATTATAAATAAATTATTTATTATGGGACATAAGAAATATAAACTAAAGTTATTATTTTATTGAACTTGTACTAAAAAAAAGTTTATATACAAGAGATTATCTTCCTATTTTTTTTTCATATAAAGATTATTTCTACTTTAAGAATGCTTATAAAAGTATTTTGATCAATAATAAAAATAGAACTTCGATTATAAAAATAATACTATTTATTCAAATATATTAATGACTTTTTTTGTTTATAAAAATATTTATATTAATAATACACTTTTTTAATTTAAAAAAAAATTATATCAATAATATACGTTTTCTCGTTTATACAAATATTTATATTAATAATACATATTTTTTTTGTGTATCCTATATTTAACTTAGATATATTTTAATTATTTTATTTTAATTTTTAATATTATTTATTTTTCTTTTGTCAGCTTTTAAATTTAAACGAAAACACATTAACTATTTATTTTAATTAAAATAACAAAAAATAAAAATAATAGGCCAATTTTAATTTTAAAAATTAAATAAGACCATGAACAAAGCTTGCATTATATAAAATCATGAAGTGTAAATTTAAAAAGGTTTTTTTTAAGGGAATATTCTTCCCACTCTTACATATGTATACCACACATTTGAGAATCTGAAAACTACTCTTCAGGCGTCAGGAGAGATAATAACTATATATAATATACATCTAGAAAATATATTACATATAGTTTAATTTGATATTGATACACATAAGTGTTTAACGACTTTAATATATACACATGTCCAAAAAATAATAATATACAATATGACACACGCTATACAAAGGTTCCTAATAAAAAATTAGGAGTTCTGTACACATTGTGTCATGTACGGAATCCACTGTGGAATATCGCCAAAAGAAAGTATTTGAGACATCATTAGGCAAGCTTATTCTTGTCTTTCACCTACATAGAACCGCCTGAAAATAACAATAATAGTGGGACGAAATAGTAATCTCAGTGTGCTCCCCTATCCAATGAGTTCACTCGACTCTTTTGAGATCTCTTATCGATTCTTAACATAAGCCATTCAACTTCGTCTTATTTGTGTTCACTTACACAATAGAACAAGACTTAAGCATCTAAGAGATATTTGTATTGGATGGAAACATGTAACTTGAGTTCACTTAACTCAACAAATCATTATTCAGAAAACATCGCAAAGCATCCTTTCTCGATCGTACCTACGTCTAGGGCAAGGCTCGAGTTGTTAGTGTAAGCCCTAGAGGTCAATACTTTTGGTACTTGTATCGAAATATTTATTAATAATAAAATGCATTTTTTATTATGTTTGGTTTTCCAAAACAATAAAGTCCCTAAAATAGCTAGTCCGTTTAGTGAAATATTAAGTGTGACTTAATCATGAGATCTCATTAAACATAAGGACATTATTCTTAAAGTATCTGTAGTCGAGTTTTACTATGAAGTGGGATAACCTCAAAGCATTAAGACTATTATGTAGATAGACTAATGACCACATCTCATGGATCATGAATAAAGAGTTATCAAGTCTTAACATATGTATGAATATTATGAGTAATATTTATATTAGTTTGACCCGTTATGAGAGTACTACATAAAATGTTATGCAAAATGTCATAAGTTACTCTCATAGTGATAGTGGTGTATATCACCCTTCGACCTGAAATCACTATGGACCTTAGATGTAGAGTCAAGTACTTTATTGTTGATCAAACATTGTCCGTTACTGGATGACCATAAAGACAGTTGATGGGTACTCCACAAAGCATGCTAAGGGACATGAGTGACGTAGATGGAATTTGCCCATCCTGCGTAATAGGATAAATATTTAAGGGCCCAATATTGAACTGGACAAAGATTTTTAGACTACGGCACGGATCTAGAAAGGGGGGTTGAATAGATCCCAATTAAAATTTGAGTCGGCGCTACCAATTTAAAAATTAGTTTTGACAATATGTTTTAAGTGCGGAAGCGGCCGAGGAAAATATAGTCTAAAACGAACGGTTATTGGAAAACCGGATATGCGTAAGCCTTTGGATTAACGATAATATGGAAAATAGAATCACAACACTAATCATACTTATCAATGATCTAATTCACTTGTTAGGATTCCTAGTTCTAATGATTTAAAGAGCAAACCAAAACTAGATACACAAGTAAGATAATTTTGGTTTAGGCAATTTGTCAAACAGTTGGTGTGCAAAACACTCCAAGTAATATTTATGTTAAGTAAGTGATTCCAACTAGCCTAGTACAATGT